ATTTTTAAAGGCAGAAGTCCGTCACCAAACTGGGAAACCATGATATCTTAAGACTTAAAGCGGCCGACAGTCGTACAACTCTGAGGAGCTTACTCGAGCACAACATCAGAGATGCCTCCAAGACCGGCCGGCCTTACGTAACCGAGGCTCCGTGGCTCATCCACAAATTATAATCCTCTGTTGCCATGGATACGGCGGTCCCAACGGGCCTCCCCTGGACTCCAAAGGAGGAGCGACCTCGATTAATAAATGCAGGTTGTAGCGGAGCAGCACAAAGCCGGGGCCGAGTTAGAAAATAATAAGAGGAGGTCCTGGGCTGGCAGCAATAAAAATGTTGTGATGGTGGGGGGGGGGGTCAGGGCCGCAACAATTAAACATGGGAGGCTGCCGAGGCGCCCTTGAGCAAGATGAGGAATGGCTGGTGGACCTCTGATGTGCATGAAGGGAGGGAGAGATAATATTGAGCTAACTCTTTGTTTAAAGGATGTTATGAAGTAAAAACAGGGATTCCCAGCTGAGGGCGACTTATGTCTAACTTTGCTTTGAGAGACGATGAGGCTTCAGTTGCTAATTAGGAAATGAAGAAAAAAAAATCAGAAACATAAATTTAATAAAAGAAACTACATGTGGACTCATTATGGATTATATGTGTGTACAATTTATTTAAAGTTATGACAGTAAGAGTTGAAAACCTCCGAGCAAGTGAGCTATCTAAACAGCTAGCTAAGCTAACGCTAAAATAAGGGCAAATTGCTGCAGCTAGCAGCTAAAGCTAACAGTTTAAATAATTTGTTAAAAGTAATAAAAAATCGTTAAAACTGTTTAAAATAATTAAATTAATAGTTTAAAATAGTTAAATTAATTGGGATAAATAGTTTAAAATGGTTAGTTAAGAGTAATAAACGGCTAAAATAGCCAAAAAATAAAGGACAAACCGTCGCATTAGTTATATAGAAATAACAGATATTCAGTTTAAAACAGGAAACGGTTAACATCTATGGATAAATGGTTTAAACAGAAGTCGAAGGTAAGATTTAAGTTGTTTTAAATGTTAAGAGAGAAAGAAGTTTCTATCTGTTGGTCAGCTTATTCCAATCCAAGTGGACCAGACCAACCTAGATATTGATCGTCAGGGTTTTTCTCCGGTTAGAATGAGTCTACATATGACCATGATCAGTCTGAATATTCCTGTTTTTTATGACTATTTGATGAACAAAAACACCCAATATGCTCGAGAAAACCAAACCTTCAGTAATAAAACTGGTTAAAATTGTAAAAATGTTAATTCATGTTATTTTGGCTCTGGTGGTTTTCCTTCAGGGGGCGCTAAAATTCATCTGTGTTGGAAAATGGAAATGTTGAAATGTGTGGATGTGTTTAATCAATGGTGTTGAATGACACACAGCTTATCATATAATAGGATATTACTGTTATTGTGACCATCTGACCTATGACATTCTGGTAGATAAGTGTTGAAAATGTAGACAAAATTCTGTTTGTAAAATCCTTCTTTCCTTCCCAGAGTGGCCCAAAACCCGGCAGTGATGAAGTCGAGATGTGTTTCGGGACACTTCTGCTCTTTGGTGAGTTGGCTCGGCGCTCAGGCCCAGAATCTAATCCCTCCAAAACGTCTCTGCGAACTCCAATAAGCCGGCGGAGGCAGGAGATCAGAGTCAACTGGTAGCAGAGCGCTGTAGCCGACCTGCACTGGGTGAATAATAACGCCGTCTCTGCCTGCAGATGCAGCCGATGTAGAAACCGGTTAGAATATTACAGTAATCGAGTCAGCTGAAACGGGCCGGGGTGTTGCAGGTTTGCCTGTGGGCGGCTGCCGAGATGCAAAATCAAATATAAAGTAATGGAAATAAAGGAATATTGGATTAGAGCAGGCAGCGGAGAAGGCGCTTCATGTTGCAATGAGCAGGAATTGGATAAAAATGTTTGTTTCATTTTGCTGCTGCTGGCGTTAAATGACAGAAAGGAAGGTTAGAAATGTTGTGTGTGTTTCAAATGTGCAGCACTTTGTTTTCTATTGATTATTGAAAAGGATTTGATCTGCTCGCGCTCTCTGCTGTTGGTCTCATTGATTTGAATACAATCTATAGGTTCTTATCAATATTTTTTCCAGATGATCATAGCAGCTATGGTGGTATATTTACAAGCTTAATCGATGCAGCAAAACCACACATTTCTGCAGCATCAGTCGAAGCACGCTGTAGGTACATAGAGCCACACGGGTGTCCAATCCTGGTCCTGGAGGGCCCCAACACTGCATGTTACAGATGTTTCCTTCTTCCAACACACCTGATTCAAATGATCAGGATCGTTATCAGGCTTCTGCAGAGCTTGATGATGAGCTGATCATTTGAATCAGGTGTGTTGGAAGAAGGAAACATCTACAACATGCAGGACTGTGGCCCTCCAGGACCAGGACTGGACACCCCTTTGCTACAGCAACATTTAAAGCTGTTATAAACCAGCCTGTTACAAAGCATAATAAACAATGGAGAAAGATAGGATGAAGAAGCATCCGGTTAACATAAACTAACACCTGAGTAGCTCCTAAACAGACGTTATTAAAGCTCCCATACTGTAGGTAGATATACCGATTAACCCTGTGCACTAAATTATTGTGTCCCAGACAAGAACCCACATCTAATGCTAAACATACAACATTTTTACAACTATTCACAGAACTAAACGTACTGAAGACTTAGTGTGAGGTAACACAAATATGTGCAATGTGCAAAATATACAGAATAGAAAATATTCTGTGTGCAATAAATGTGCCTGTTTTTCAGCATAATGATTAAAGTCTCACACGTCCCTAGAATGTGTATTTCAATATTTAATCTCAAAACACTGCAGGGATGGTTCGTTTCACCGTGACTGTATAACTCCAGGTTTAACCAGGCTGCTTCTGTGTCTGTAGCTTTAAATGAGCTGCTGCTGGTCCTGCCCCCTTCAGGAAAAAGACTCTCCTCCATCTGTCACTGACAGATTACAGCCTGGACTTTCTATTGTTCCTGACTGTGTCTCTGAGTGATCATTTTACACAGAAATATCATCTATATGTCAGCTGCTGTTTAACTCGTGTGTTTGGTGAGTTTGTCAGCTGACGCTGTGGTGATAAAATCAGCAGTTTATTGGTGCAGAGCAGCAGCTTGGAAGTGGCTCTGAGGTCCAACATGTCGTCCCTGTTTCATAGAGTTTCAGTTGTCTGACAACAGAAGCAGAAAAAAATGTAAATGCATTTTCATCTAATTTAAAATCCAGCATATGTGAGCACAGAGAGCCGGAGAGAAGCTAATGGATGTAAACAGCAGCTGGGTTTAGGTTGAAGTGAAGCTCAACGGGCAACATGAAAACACAGAAACACACCCAGTCCTTGTTTATTGGTTCCAAATTTCACCATCTCTGGACGTCCCTCAGCGTTACAGAGCTCTGACCTACGGCCGTACAGTCAAAGCTAATGGTAGCATTAGCCACATTAGCCACATTAGCTGCAAAACATGTGGCGGCTTCGCCATCAAAAACAAAAGTAACCCACCGAGTTCCCCAGATGCTGGGTGTGCACGAAGACTCTCGTGTTCACTCTTGCATTTTAAAGTTAGCAGCTCCAGGAAGTGAATAAACCTGGAAAGCTGGGAGGCTCATTGTGAATGGTCTGAACAATCTGAGCTGGATAAATATGAGCTGTTTGTTGGAGGTTATAGGTTTTATTTGACACTGCAAGTTTACAACAACAACTTCAAAACAAACAAAACAAGTGAATCAAATGGGATGTTTGTGGATAACAATAACACATTTATTTTGTGTAGCGCTTTTCAACATACTCAAAGTTGCTAAACAGGGGAGAAGATAAAAACAGGAACGAAACAAGTTGAATAAAAAGCAGATTAAAAAAAAACAAGGAATAGAAGGCAGGTAAAAATAAAATTAAACAGTTAGACATTAAAAGAGATCTTAAAAAGGAGAGTTTTTAAAAAGAAATGAGTGTATTTTTTACACTGAATGAACAATAAAGGTACAATTCAAGAAACTAGGATAAAAACTCTGAAAAGCAGGATTTTTATTTAATTTATTAAAACAGGAAGTCTCATTGAGATTCAAGAGAGAGCTGGCCCAGGTAGCAGCCCATCACAACAGATTAAGAGTTAATTTGTCATAACAGATAACTCATCTTCACAAACCTTCAGAAAAACCACTTTTCCATCATCTTCCTGAGACGATATCAATCAAGTTAACTCTGTTGTTGAGTCAAATCCACTCAGCTTCACTTTGATTGATATTATCTCAAGAAAACAAGTTTTCTAAAAATCTGTTTTTGCAAATTAACTCTTCAAATACAGATAAAATAACCTCAGATGCCCTTACGTTTATTAATTGACATAAATGTTTCTAATCTGTAATCTATAAAAGGAAAAAGCCGTTTTCTCTCACATCCAGGCAGCTGTGACAGGATGAAGTTATTCAAACTAACTACATGAGGAACTGGAATATTACAGCGCAGGACACGCCCAGAGACTCTCTCTCTCTCTCTCTCTCTCTCTCTCGCTCTCTTTTTTTTTTTTTCCTTTCCTGATTAATGCCACAGCCAGTAATCGCCAGCTTTCATCCAAACCCCGCCACGGATCCACGCATCACGCTGCGCGCTCGGAGATGATCGCATTCTCATCGGGCTGACCCCGCCTCTGGTGAATGCAGGGGCTCCATGTGACGCTGGGGCTGTAACAAAAATCCAGTATGGCGGAATCTGTCAGGAGATGAATTCTCTCCCTCCTCTCGGCGCTGAGAAAAAAGCCCAGAGATGGGAGCGAAATAAAAAAGAGAAAAAGCCACAAAAACAAAAAAAAAAAGCGCAACCCGTGCGGGACTCATGTTCGGGGACGCCTTGGCCTGCCGCTGGCCCCGCGTAGGTGAGCCCCGTGGATGAAGGCGCACTCCGGTGTTGATATTTCAGGCAGGGATGCGAGATGCACAGACAGGATTCATCAAAACAATGTCCGGCTGAAGTTTCCACTCCGCTCCTCTTGGGTTTGTTGCATTGTGAGCGGGCCCGAGCCGCATCCGACCGCGGTAGGACTGATTCCACATGTTTTAAAAGACGTTTATGTGCACGTTTCCACGCCGTTTGTGGCACTATTGCGGGCGGGAAGTGTGTAGGCAACAAGGAGGGGAGGGAGGGAAGGAGGTGGTGGTGGTGTAGAGGGGGGGAATGGACAGGCGATGTTTATTATGCCGATTGTTGCTGAGCTATTTATAGTGCACGGCCCAGCCTACGGGTTTAACGCAGCGCTCCCTCCGTGTCCCTGCACCTCTTTAGCCGCGTTAGAGGCGAGAAAAAATGCGTAAAAGCGAAGGCGCAAGGCCCTGCGTAAGAGTGCTGTTTGAGTGAATGGTTCGGGATGGGCGGTGGTAATTCTCTGCATGCGTCAATCTTTTTTTTTTTTTTTTTTTTGTGAATGGGGGCGTACGGGCTGTTAAAGCAACACCAGGGCTGGATGTTTGTCTGTAAAAGTGTCATTTTTAGCTTTGGAGACATGAGGTGGATGTTGTTGTTGTCCTGTTAGATTAAAGTTGCTCATATTAATTTTTTATTTTTGCAGAACACACTCATCCCCCCCCTCCCTCTTTTTGAATCCCATCTCCCAGGTTTTTTTTTTTTCTCACTTCAGGGCTCCTCTCCCCAGTTCTGTCACCCCGCATCAAGCCATTTTTAGGGGGACAATGGCCCAGGACACACACACACACATGAAGAGATGCCCTGGGAGAATGGTGAAGCCCCCCTGGAGTGCCAGCTTACTCCCCCATGACACACACGCTTTTGCTTTTTCCATCACAAGCCAGTGTGCATTGTGCAGTGACCGACTTTTTTTTTTTTTTTTTTTGGGGAGGGGGGCAATTTGTCCTCCGGCTGCACTGTCTGGCCCTCTTGTCTTGAGACCCCCCTTCCCCCCTCTGTTAATGCACACATCCAGAGGACCTGGGAGACCTCTACCAACCAACACACAAGGGCGTGAACATGCACGCTACCCCCCCCAGAATGCCTCCTCCTCCTCTTCCACCGCCGTCCCACTCCCCCCTCTTACCCCACCACCACCACTCTCAGCCCCAGCCGCCTCGCCCTGGGGCAGTTTTGCCCCCTTTTTTCTATTTGTAGCGGTGAAGTCGACTTGATGCTCTGGGCTCGAGCTGTGATTACATCTGACACTCGCGCTCCAGGCTCAAGGAATTCAGGTTACTCTCTGAAAACAAAGAAAAGGACAATCACTTATATCCAGAAACAACAACAACAAAAAAAGACCAATCAGCGACTTCCAAAACAAAGAAATGCAGCGCTCTGTTATTCTGCTTTGTAGACTGATAAGATCAGAGGAAGTACTTTTTCCAGATTTTTTTTTAAGAGTCCCGGAGCTTCTTTTAGTGTTCGAGTCAGCTTGAGGTTGTGTTTCGTGTTCTTGGATCTGCGTGACGACAGCATTTTGCTTTAAAGTAAAACCCTGTGGTGTGTTTAACAGGAGCAGGACTGAAGGTATTGATAGAAGATAAAAGTGTATCTGCCACCTTTCAGTTCATCTGCTTGTTACAGGTCAGATATCGTATTTATCTAACATGTTTGCTGCTCTAAACCCTCTGAACTCCAACCAGGTTCTATGTAGTTTTTGCTCCGGTCACATTTTTTTTTTCACTGTGATGTAAAGTCGTGCAGCTCTACAGCACAACCACAAAGGAGAGAAGTCAGAAATGTCTTCTGTGCTGTTTAACGTACTTCTAACGCCATAAATCATGAAAAGAAAAAACAAGAATGAATTGAATTTTACGTATTTCAGTTTTTTGTTTTGCAAAAATTGAAAAAAACTAAAATCAACACGTGCAGAATGTTCCCAAATGACCACAGATGTCCCAAATGCTGGAAAAAAGATGGCTTATAGATAATATATTTACATTTTTACCCTTTTTTAAAAAAAAAATATTATTGTCGCTTTCCGTATGTGTGCCTGTACTTTGGCTGAAAGAAAATCCAGAGTTTTTCTCCTGTGAAACAACTGAGTCGCTGATGTTTTTGCATTTGTGCTGAGAAAAATGGGGACTTTTTAAAGATATTTTTTTAAAAAACAGATTCTGGCTCGAGCAAACATTTTTTTTTTGGCAAAACTTTTCAACAAAACATGCAAAGTGAACATATTTTGACAAAATCTCCTGATTTTTCTGCTTAGATTTGGTTAATTTTCCAACCAAATACTAGATGAGTGCATCTGAAAGCATGAAGAAGTTGCAAACCCAATGGTTTTGTTTCTGTTTTTACACTTTCTGGCTCTGATATGTGGTATTATTCTGGTTATTTAAAAACAAACAGCGCGTCTGTCAAACCTAGTGGTGGGTTTTGGTGTTTGGAGGGTTCAAAACTGAAACCATTTGATTAATTGATCAGATAATTAACTGGTAAACATTTTTTTTAACTTATGTCTTGAGTCCTGTTTAAGATGCTTTGTACGGTCGTGGAAACTTGTGATCGGACTTTAACAGTCTTTCCCACTGATTTAAAATCCATTCATACCTTCATCCATTACACTCAACGGAATCATATGATGAGTTTAAACCAACACATCACAGCAGAAGTATTTCTCAAATCATGACTTTGTCCTCTTCCTCGCCTCTGATAGGTTGGTGCTAGACGACGAGCTGCCTCTCTGATTGGAGCCGGCGGGCTGATGGAGATTGGCCGCCGCCGCTGCTGGACGCCTGCTTCTCGTTTCCCGTCTGACCGTCCCGAGCGTTGGATCAGCGCACGTTCACACAGCTTTGGCAGGATAACGGCCTCCTGATCGCGCAGCCTGTAAATCACCCGAACGCACATCTGTTCTGCAGCATCACACCTCGAGCCCGGCGCTCGCCGTACCGCCTGGACGCCCACCTGACCCACCTGTCAGCCATGACATCACACAGCCACCAAGGTAGGAGCTCTTAGCGTCGTCCTTGTCTGTCACTGATGTGCATTTGTCTCTCAGCGGGTGGAAATTTAGAGGGTTTGAATCGTTTTCTAGGAAAGGTCGGATAACAAACGCCACATTTATGGACGATTTTATCACTTCTGGGGTATTAATTCTGTTTAAAAGCCTGCTGATACGTGGAGGTTTATCAGGCTGACTCTTTGTGTCCTACGATACTTTAAACTCTGGGGGGAAACTTTTAATATGAAAGCTTTTGAATGTGGTTTTAAAGCTGTAGCTGCCGGTAAGCTAACTGCATAAACAGCAATCATGGATCCTGTTAAATCATTTGAGATGAAGTGACAGAAATATAATGTTGAACCATCTTGTAAGAACTCTGGTTAAAAACTAGTAAAAAAAACTACCAGTGAAAGTGAAAGATTTGTCAGATTTTCAAGCTTCTAATGATCCTCAAACTGCTCATCTATCCTTCAGTAAACTAAACAAAATCAATTATGTTCTGCTCTTTATTCACGAATCTAAAACAATTCAAAAAGTCCTCCTCAAAAATGAAGCATTGACTAATATTCTCCCTTTTATTGTAACTCTAAATATTAGAAAGTGTCCATGTTGTTTAAGAAAATGGCCAAAATTACATCACTGATCAGAGCCAGAAGCTGTAAAAACAGACGGTCCTTGAACTAATCATCCCTTACATGTCATTATATCAGGAAACGTCACTAAATCTGAGCTTGAAATTGCAAAATTTCACCAAAAACTCCTCAAACATGGAGGATTTGCACTAACCAGATGTGAAAAATGGAAAATTCTGCACTCCTCGGTGCAACCATGACGCTATTAGTGACTCATTTGTGACTAACATGACAAATATTGAGGGGCTTTTCTATTGAACTGCAGGCTGTTTCTAGTATGTAGAGACACTGTTGTCCCTAATATTGATATTTTTTTTTCCCATTTTTGGAAAATAAATGGCCTAATAAGTTCTACTTTTGTTATTTCCTTTTTATGATTTCTAGCATTATATTTGTGTTTCACTGCACAGATGAGTTTTCTCTCCTTCTAGTTGTGGTTGTTCTGGTTCTACAGAGGTGCAGGACTTTAATTTGCAGTGAAAAACGAACCCACGGCGAGTAAAAACAAGATTTTTCAGCATATTCTCTTTCAGTGCTGCTGAAACACATCGAAAACCTTAAACCAAAATTCAAACTGCCACGTGCGGAGTAACGAGATTTTAACTCCCTGATATCGCCACATTAAGGGAAATCCGTCCTCGGCTTCGTCTGAATTACACCAGCGTTTTGATTCTTAACGGAGACGGATCGCAGCTCGCTAAAACGCAATAAAACATCTTAATCCGGTCCTCGCGAGTGTTAATGGGTTTGATTCAGTAGGAACGAGCTCCAAAGGGTGAGAGGGAAAAAAAAAAAGTCCATCACGTGGGCTCATTAGGAGCCTTTCCCTCTTGGACACCTAATCAAGCTCGGTTTGGAAGCTTCGGCTTTTGGCGCGGTTGATGAATTATTCGGTAACCAGCTGGCAGATGAAAAGGTGAGCTTTCCCGCCCTGGTCGGTACCTGACGGTGTCGACCGTGTTTACTTTCTACACCTGGGAGTGTGTGTGTGCTCTATAAATACCACAGCTGAGGGGGGATACGAGGGAGCTGCAGCCTCAGCCCTCCGACGTCTCCATCGCTGGCACATGTGAAGGGAAGAGCATGTCGACGTCGCATCCAGAGATGCTCACTTTCCTCCCAACCAATTAGGACGGAGCCCATTACATTGTTAGATCAACCTCAGATTAGAGCGGCTCTACAGTTATCATTAGCCGGCCCATTCTAATTCCTCGTCTCCGTTACCGACGAGGCTGACGAACTTAAACCCTGCTAATCCCAAGAAATGATTCTGACAGCGCCAACATATTCAAAGTGACACGTTAGATGATCAGAGGTGCGTTTCTTTTTTTTCTGATGCTCCCAGAAGAGGTTTGAAGCAGCGTCAAAGGAAAATGACAAGAGCCGAGAATAAATATGGCAATTAGATTTTTTTTTTTATTAATTGGGGTCTCATTAGCTCAAGTATAACAGACATTTTTCTTTCTTCAAACGGTCACAAATTACATCCAACAGTCGATGCAGAGTTTAAACTGTTTATTTTGTGATACGTCTTCCCTTGACTGGTTCTGGTGCCCACGATGCTGCAAGGTGGATCAGTGGTTAGCACTGTGGCCTCGCAGCTAGAAGGTCGCCGGTTCTCGTCCCGGTGAGGACACCCGGGATCTTTCTGTGGAGTCTCCATGTTCTCCCCGTGCAGCGTGGGTTCTCTCCAGGTTCTTCCTCCCACAAGGTCCAAAAACATGTTGAGGTTAATTGGTGATTGTAAACTGTCCATAGGTATGAATGTGAGTGGTTGTCTGATTTAAAGCTCCTTTTTCTTCCTGAAATCCAATTTTTAAAATCTAACACAAAGATTTTAAACACAATCAAGCCGTTCTAAAGCGTTATTCAGAGCGTCTTCAGCTGAAAAGTCCCTGAATTTTTCTCACAAGACGGTTTCCTTCAGCTAAGTCCCTATTGGCTCTACAGTTGTGCCAAAGAGAGCAGATTATTTTTAAGTTTTTTACAGAATCCCGTTAAAGCAAATGGTTGATCTTTAGCTTTTTTTTTTTTTAAAGAATAAAGTGATTTTGATGAACTGTCACAACTTTCAGCTCAGATTGGGTTCATGTCCCGACCAAACCGGACATGAAAAACTGAAGAATCTGATTCTTTCTGTTTGTGGCTCTCATGTCTTTTAATTTCTAACAGACCTGGCACTAGAAGAACTTTATTTTTGGGAAATTTGTAAAGGCGTGCAGAATAAAGTGAAACACTGAAATTTAACCTTAGATTTGGTTAAGTTTTCCTATCAGAACTGCACATTCCAGCTCTAATAAACACCATCATTTTGCAGATTAAATGCCTTTTAAATGCTCGCGAGGTTTTAGGGTTCAGAGATTTAATAAAGTCAAATATTGTGGTTTACATCACTGTGTTGTCTTCAACCAGCTGGTTTAGTCGTGCACTTCGGTGACACTGGAAGCAACCGAGGCTGAGATATTCTAACTTTCAGTTCCTAGCGTGGCTCCAAAAGCACTAAACCCTCCATTTCCCATGATGTATTTTTCATTAGACCTCTCTTGAGTTGGTGATTCACTTCATGTGCAAAAAGCTCCTTTTTTAAAATACATTCAACCAGTCCTGCAGACTCACAGTGATCAATAATCGCTTTTTTTTTTCTCTCTCTCCTCCGAACTCTTCAGAAATAAAACCTCCGTCATTATTTTACGGCAGAACGATTCTGTTGGAAGAACACAAACTCTGATTTTGAATCGATGCCCAGCTGTGAGCGCAGCCAAGGCAGAAAACTTCACTCTTTTTCTCTGGCCGGGGGCAAGAACAGCAGCTGATGGGGGGGAAAAAATAAACTAATCGGCTCCTGTCGAAATGTAAAATTTAGCCCTTTTTAATTCACCGCCCTTCCCTCCGCTGCCTCTCGTCTTTCGCAGTTTGCCTCCCACTGGAACAGGGATGCCCAGGATCTGCCTGTCACCCTTGTTAGCTCACCTCTCGCTGAAACAAAAATAGCAGTGATCCTAGAGATGCGCTTCGTACCTGCAGCGGCTGTTTCTCACTGTCTTGTTTGCCTCTGAAAAGCCTTCAGAGGAGACGATCCCGGTCCTCAGAGTGCTGCCAAGTGTGGGCGTCAATTTGAGGTGTTGCTTGTCTTATTTGAATGACAGCTCCGAGACACACTTGTTGGATGTTCAGAGAGAGAGACGCAGGAAACAGGCAGCCGGGAGACGTTTAAAGAAGTGTGAAAAATGTGACCTCGTGCTACTTGTCGGGCTCGTCCAACGACTTCCTTTTTTTTGGTGACAGCGATATTTACAGACACGAGCCGGGTGAGGAATCGGTTCTGTTTTGAAGAGACGAATCGGGTCCAATTTAATAATCTGAGGAAGAGACGCGGGATTGCATCATGTCTGTCTGCTACGAATTTGTTTTATATCGAGCGTAATTAAACAACACTGGCTTTGTTTTCGGGGTGAACAATGACTTTTTTCTCTCAGCTTCATCTGCACTGTTTCCAGCCTTTAAGTAAAGCCTCCAGTGTGTGCGCGGCTGCATGTTCAGCAGCTCTGCTGTTGGTGTTTGCGAGCGTGCCTGCCTGCTTATGTGCCATTTTTGTAATCTGTAAATGAGCTTACTAGCACGCACGCTTTTGATCCAGGACTTACTCATTTTCTTTATTACAGCAGCAGCGGGATTTTTAGATTAAATATCATTTACCATAAATCTCTTCCCGGAAAAGTGAAATGTAAAACGCTTTGTCAGGTCGGCGTTTCGCAGAACAAAAGACGGGGGTCACGCTGATAAGGCCCTCACATCAGTGTTTTTTTTCTTTTGCAGTGCATATCAGCAAACAGGCTGGAGTGTTTGCTCAGGAGTGATTACTCTGTGTACCGAGAGCTTTAGCATATTAGCAGACGACATTTGTTTTGCACTCGTGCTTAGCGGTGAGCTAACATGTTGACCATGTGTTGGTGGTTTCTCTCAACGCCAGGATGGTTAATTGTGGAGTACAGATTCCTAACATTAGCGTCATAATTAACCACTGAAGCCAAAGAAATCCCCAAAAACGTGAGGCGACTCAGCTGGGAATCCAAGAAAACTGCAGATTTTTCAGTTATTCTCATTTATTTTGCAGCGTGATTCGCAAAAACAAGTTAAAGGCGGTATGTTTTCATCATTTCACCTTTAATTAGTTCACATTTTGAGGGTTTATTTTTGCTTCCTCGCTCAGAAATGTGCATCAGCAGCAGCAGCAGCAGCAGGTGGAAACTTCTTTCCCACGTCGCTCAGACTTGGAAGCCCTTTGTGGTTGTGGTCACTTGCCAAGCGGCCTTATCAGTTCCTGCTTACAATCGGAGTTTCCCCACAGTCCAGATAAAGAGGGAGACGACT